AGGAGTGAAAGGGCAGACAGGTTGCTGGGAAAACTGAACATCTTCAACCAGCTATCAGAATATTGTAAGGACTCTGGAGATGTGGCTTTGCTGTCTGGAAATGCTGGGGACGGAGCAATATTTATTGGAAATGTATCTGTGTTTTGTTTAAAGCTTACACTTGATCTCTAGTTGAGAGTTGAAAATAACTGGGAGTTTTGCACTGAAATGCAACAACAATACAACATACAATATGAAATTACATTTGTAATTTCACGTCTGGAGGACGTCCCAAGGCACTGGACCCGAGCGGAATGGAGGGTAGGGGGTGGGGGTTGGAATCAGGGAGGTTGGAGGGCAGAGAGGGTAGGGTGGGACACAGTCGAATCCGGATGTATTGAAGGCATGTACAACAACATTTGGAGGGTGGCTGAAGGCACGGTCAAAAAGAACGGGCTTGAGGCGTGCCTTGAAGGAGGTAAAGGAGGGAGTGAGGCAAAGTGAATGTGGGATGGAGTTCCAGAGGGTGGGGGCAGAGAGGCTAAAGGCCCGACCGCCAATGGTGGGGTGAACTGAGTGGGGGACATGGAGCAGGACGGAGCCTGCTGAGAGGAGTAAGTGGACAGGTTGTTAAGGGGTTAGCAGGTCAGAGAGGTAGGAGAGGGCAAGGCCTTGGAGGGCCTTGAAGGTGAGGGCGAGAATTTTGAACTCAATCCTCTGAGGGATGGCTAGCCAGTGGATCCGGGCAAGGATGGGTCTGATGGGGTCACGGAGCTTGGTGCTCGGTGCAGCTTCTGGAGGGAAGAGTTGGGAAGGCTGACTGTTGGCACAGTCGAGTCTGGATGTAATGAAGGCATGTACAACAACAACAACAACAACTTGCATTTATATAGCACCCTTTGATGTAGGAAGGTGTCTTGGCGTGCTTAATAGTGGCCTGACGCTGAGCTGGGGGGAGAGAGGAGATGACAGTAAGCATATTCAAAGAGGAAGATATTCTGTCATGATCTAAAAGAGCAGAAGGAGAGGGTAAAAAGGGAGAGAGTTGAGCAGGAAGGAAGGATTGCGGGAGAGAGTTCCGAAGCTTTGGGGCATAGTGGCTGAAAATGTGACTACCGATAGTGGGGTGGAGGGAACAGAAGACAAGCAGGAGGCCAGAGGCAGCCGAGAGGAGGCAGCGGGTTAGTGGAGTGGGGAGAAAACAGATACAAAATAATAATAATAATAATCCTTGCATTTGATATAGCGCTTTTCACGTCGGAGGATGTCCCAAAGCGCTTCACAGAACACACTGTAAAGTGAATTGACTGTATAATTTGTGGGCGAACACGGCAGCCAATTACGCACAGCAATGTCCCACAAACAGTCGTAGATTGAAAATGACCAATTTATTATTGTTTTTGGTTTTGGAGGGATTATTATTAGGCTCTGTGTGGAGTAAGGAAACTAGCCCAAGGTTTCGCCCTTAAGCAGTGTTATGAAAGATCTCATTAGCACAGTTGTCTCTGGTGTCCTCTTGATTCTTACTAAACAAAATGTGCATCCACTTCTTAGGCAGCAATGGTTAACTGTGCTCTGCAGAAGACTCGATGGCTTGTGGGGGGAGGGGAATGACGGTGATGTGATTATTACCAGTAATAACTATCACATCATTCATCCCCAGTGATGGTTATCATGCATTTTTAACCCCCTTGTTTCCACACTGTAATACAATGCAGAGAGCAAATGCCACACTTGAAAGGCAGTTCCCAGCCTCGTGTGTAGAAGTCCCTCGTGGATGTCAGCTCGTTGAGGGACAGTGAACAGAATGTAAAATTATCAATCCTTATTCATACAGCGCTAATGTGCCCCCGAGTACTGAGTATATAAAGCTGCTGGTTTTCAGCTTAATGACACTAACAATGGAGTTAACCTTTAAATATGCTGCATTAAAATATAAATCTAAAATGTGCTGAATTTTACGGTTTTATCCAAATGTTAAGCTTATCTAGCCTTTGACGATTCCATTCTCTTCCCCTCTCTTAAAGAGATTGACTCCTACTGAGCTGTGGATTTGTGAACTCCCTCCAGTACCTTGCCCAAATGGTCAATATTTTACTAACTCCCAGCTCAGGTCCGTAACTCTGTCTGTCCAGCTCCTGGGGACGTCCTCCAGACGTGAAAGGTGCTATACAAATGTAATTTTGTTGTTGTTGAGAGCCCAGACTGTGTTGATAAATTATATAAAATAGTTTTGCCCACAAATTCCACTTTAAAGTATATCCTGTGAAGCGCTTTGAGGTCTCTCAATGATGTGATAAGGCGCTATATCAAATTCAAGGATTATTATTAATATGTATTTTGTGTCAGTGTGCACTGATCCCATCCACACACCTTTGCTTTGTAGCATAATTTCTCTAGATAGAAATTAGTATCGGGCACCTCATTATAGCACCTACAAACGGTCCTGGACGAGATGAGGCAACTCAGCACAGAACAAACCTGGAATCTTCCTCGTCTGTATATGGCTCAGTACCACATCGACTGGTGCCTTTTACCCCTCTCTTTTATAAGTAAATGAATAATTCCTTAGGGCAAAAGAAAGCATAGAACCAGACTGGGCTAGTTTTTATATGGCACAGAAAATCTGTAGCACTTTCTCTGTAATATTAATTCATGATCAGTGAAGCTCTGGAGTAAAGTTGAGCTGTCACAAACTCTCAACAAATGTTGGAAGCTTTTTGGCAATCAATCACAACATAATAATAATAATAATAATAATCCTTGCATTTGATATAACGCTTTTCACATCTTCTAGACGTCTCAAAGTGTTTCACAGAATAGACTAAAGTGAATTGACTGTATATTTGTGGGCAAAACAGCAGTATCCCACAAACAGTCGTGGATTGAAAGTGACCAATTTATTATTGTTTTGATTTTTTGGAGGGATTATTATTAGGCGTGTGGAGTAAGGAAACTTGCCCAAGGTTTTGCCCTGCCTGAAATTGAACCCAGGTGTCTCGCTTGCAAGGCGAGTGCTCTAACCACTGAGCTCCAGTACTCCACGTATGTAGCATCCTTCGCGCGGGGTAGTGTCCCGGAATGCTTCCACTTCCAAGCAAAGCCCACAAAATACCTATAACCACAGACTCCTGAAGCCCCAAATTCCCTTCAGCCTTAGCCAGCAAGGCAATTTTGTTTCAAAATTGAAGATTGAGTAGAAGATCAAGTTGAATTGTGGGAAAAGATTATATTCAGTGCAACTTTGGCAATCGGCTTTCTGCGTTTCTCGAAAAAAAAGTTGACTTCCAGGGTGAGAATTTAAGAATTCTGCTTAAATTCTTAAATTTTGCGACACAATGGTAGAATAACAGATGACTGGATAGAGTCTCTGCCCTCCGATCTTAAATGTTGTGAGCTCTGTGTGTGCTCTGGAACACTTGAAAAGGAAACAGCCCCTCTGCAATCATCACCGATTTTGTTAGCCACAGGCAATGAACGGAGGAGGGGTGCACAGAAATTGAGGGGGAAAGTGATGGCACACTGGAGTTTGCTTTCAAATGTAGCATCTGCAGGCACAGCAGAACACGATGCCGTTTAACAATTTGTGGGTTTTACTTGCATCAAAGTGGGAGCGAAGAAAGGGTCTGTATAATGAGATTGTGTATGTGTAGAATTGATTTCATCTGATTAGTAGTGGCTGGTCATTACCCGTGCTGCCTCAGGGGCCTGAACTAATGCTAATCCCTTTGCGAGTGAGCCTGTTCATATGACTCTCCAAACGCAGAGATCGCCCATCCTGTTACAACACTGATCCCTAAAAGAAGCACAACATTAAGTCAGCAGGATTATCCGCTGGGAATCTCACAAGGTCTGGAGGGCAACTAATGGACACTGTACCCTTTCTTTCTCCTGTTGCTGAGAAATATTAAGCCTTTCAAAAGGGAGGAGGTGAGGGGAGGTATTTGGTTGTCTAATTGGCTGACTCTGGATGCTTATGTAGTGAAATCAGTATTGCAAAACTGGAGTCTAATGTTTTTATTTCAAAATGTATTTTNACATTTTTTTAAAAAAATTAGACTCCACAGGTCACAATTCATATTCTGATGATCAGCTCCATGAATAGGGTAGAAATCATTCTAAGGGGACTCATAATGTGTGGTGTAAATGGATAGCTCAAATAATTGATTGGTAAAGACCTAAATATATGGGTTCAGCATGGCATTGCAATCTCTAACTGATTAGGTCCAGTATAGCTTACAATGGTAGATGTTAACAATACTATTAATAATTCTTGCATTTGATAACGCAAGGATTTTATTTAATAATCTACTCAAGCTCTACACCTCCAACATGCATTATGAGTATAGATACTCTTGAAAAAATAGGTTTGATTCCACTGAGGTGGAGAGAAGGCTAACAACAACCACAGAATTAAATTTGTAAAGAGCCTTCCATGGGGAGGACGTCCCAAGGCGCTGGACAGACAGAGTTATCGACCTGAGCTGGGGTTCGTGGAGGGCAGCGGGAGGAAGCAGAGAGATTGAAAGCGGGGTCTTGAGATGGGTCTTGAAGGTGGCAAGGCAGAGGGACTGTGGGATGGAGTTCCAGAGGGTGGGGGCAGAAGGCCCGCCCGCCAATATTGGGGCGAGTGGGGGGAGCGAGCAGGATGGTAGGGGTTAGGAGGTCGGAGAGGTAGGGTGGAGCAAGACTGTGGAGGGCTTTGAAGGTGAAGACCAGGATCTTGAATTGTATCCTCTGGGTGATGGGAAGCCAATGGAGTCAGACGAGGATGGGGCTGATAGGGTCGCAGAGCTTAGTGGGGGAAAGGACACAGGCTGCAGACTTCTGGATGATCTGCTGCCTATGGAGGGGGGAGTTGGGGAGGCCGACAAGCAATTAGTTTGCATAGTTAAGAGATTTTAACTGAATAGGATGGGAGCATATCCTACAAGGAACAATATGGTGTTTATAATACTTGCAGCTCTGTAAATGAGCTTTTCTTTGTGAAATAAGAAGTTTGAATTACTTTTCATTTATAGCAAGAGCGGGTCCGATGAGGACAAACAGCATGAAGCTCAGGCTATTACCCATGCCACCGTACAGCCAACACACTCTCCGTCATGGGAGGAGAAGTTAACTCTGGAGATAGGTGCTGAGACAGAGGAAGGTAAGAGTTTGTACCTCCCCACTTGCTCTGCGTTCTTGTCTGTTCCATTTTTGGTCACTACTATTAGTGGAGTCCTGTAGCTGAGTGGTTAGAGCACTCGCTTTGCAAGCGAGAGACCCGAGTTCAATTCCAGGCAGGGCGAAACCTTGGGCAAGTTTCCTTACTCCACACGCCTAATAATAATCCCTCCAAAACCCAAAACAATAATAAATTGGTCATTTTCAATCTACGACTGTTTGTGGGACATTGCTGTGCGCTATATCAAATGCAAGGATTATTATTAGTCTCAAATTTTACTACACCAAGTCTCATGGCCTGTATAGTGAGCCATTGGCAGAACTGATTCACTTTTATTTGTATGTTGTGGGAGTTCGGGGAACAGAATGAGTGTGCGTGAGTGAGAATAGGGTGAATGTTTACATTCTTTCTGTTGAGTGTTGAGGGGAAAATGAGCATCAACTGCATGTCTAAAATAGGTGATTTTTAAACATCTGTTCTTTGGAGCTGTGGTGGTTCTGTCCAAACCATTTGAAAGGTCCTATTGTTGCACTAGGTTAGGGCAGATTGGCAATATGTATCAAATTGAGTCATATATCCATTAAAAATAAGACTGTACAGTTTCCTGCATGTGGCACACAGGCACAGCACAATTCCAGACATCAGCAGCATCCTAACAATCCCCCAAAATGCTTGAGCGAGCAGTCATGGCTGAACTGGCCGGCCTTTGCATGCACAAGTGGAGTAAGGTGTGGTCCCTCCGACCATCCTGGAAATATTGACAAACGGCCACTCTGTGATGTTATAATCCTGGGGTCTCGTTTTACAGACTCCAGCTGCTATGTTATAATGGGGTGGGAGGATACAAATATCTGTGTGTGATCATACAGACAAGAGTCTGCTTTTGTTAATTCCGCATGCAGCTTGCTTAAAGCAAGAAAATTCCAAAAGGCCTTTTGAATTATAACATTGAGATTAACCCTGCTGTGTTTTTAAAAAATATATATTCGTAATGGTGCTATACAGTTTTGCTCTGTTCTCTCTCTGTTTGGACATCACAATCCATTTAAAGTGAGTGTTCATGTCTATGTGCACATAACAAAGATTGAGAAGCTAGCACTATCCTGTTTCACCACTTAACCCATTGAAAGTGGGCAATGATTGGAGGGACTGACTGACGACATTGACCTCGTCTTTCTCCATACTGTCATTATAATCAATGCACTTTGCTGCTCTTTACACAAGAGTGTCGTGGGTGAGAGGTAAAAAGCCAGTAGGCTTTGGCACTGATTGCAACTAAATACATTTATTCATGTGAAAATGACTTTTTTTTAAAAAAAAGTGGAAAGGCAATTTTGTGCTCTGCTAGCTAATTATGATGTGTGTGAAGGTGCAGCTAGCAGCCTGATTGCAGTCTCTTCAGCATTTAATAGCTGCTAGAGTAATGCTGTGAAATGACTGTTGGTATGTGCACAGCATGCTTATTCAGGCAGCAAAAACGGCACTTACAGGACAAATGAACATTTCAGCATTTGTGGTGTTCTACAACACTGTGCTCACACTACAAATTTGAAGGTAATGCCCTCATTAAAGGTTGCACTGTCAGACTTTTGTGCTGTCAATGTTTTTGAGCCGTGAGATAAATGGCAATTTTCTTGCCTCGAATACAGATGTGGTGTTTTCGAGTGGAATTGTATTTTTTTCAGCTCATGCACACGTTCCGATAGATTTGAAGTTTGTGTTTGTTTTTCTTGATTTGAAAGTTACTTTTAGAGGCACTGTGTGTTGATGTTGAAACTCATAGATTATTGACTGAGTTGCAGTTGGAGAGAGGGCACACATGTTTGGCCCTTATTATTATTAATGATATTCCTGCCCGCTCTGAATGTCAATGGCAGTGCTGCAGGGATGTGCTTATAAATAGGAACGTTGAAATATTTGAGAAGTCTATAAAAACCTAGAGGGTGAAATTCTACTCCCAGTGCATCTTCACCAAGCAAAATGACAAATTGATTAGCTTATTGCTATGTAACATTAGGCATTTGCGAACCAGAAATTTCTGTGCTAATTGCGACTTTGATTTGTTGTGATTTGGGCTGGCATTTGTTCTCATCTTTCCTATTTGATCTTGTTCTATCGGAATACCACCTCTTCCGTCTCCCTTTTCAGCGTTGAGCTGTTTCTTATACATCCAGTACTCTACATTTAACCACCTTTCCTAGTAACTTGTTCCTGCTGTTGATTACCCTCCTTCTAAAGAAATACTTCCTGGTGTGTGCCCTAAACTTGTGATTTCTTTTCCTGCTCTTGCCTTGGTGTATTTGAATATATCTCTCTGGGTCTATCCCATTTAGCATCTAATATACTTCCTCTAAGGCCCGCTATGAGTTATCTCTTTTTGAGACTTATCTTTATCCACTTGTTCCTCACAGATAATTTCTCTAACACTTATCATTTTCATTATATTCTTCTCAGCATTACCTTTCTGGTTTTCCCCAGTGAGTAATGCCTTGATTAGAAGCAACCTTCTCTGGACCAACTAAATGTTCCCTCAGTGACTTGTCTAGTGTAAGCGGTGGCAGCACGATCTACATTAATGAAGCATCTGAACTAAATTCAAAATGTGCTTAACTAAGTCTAAGCAGAAAAGTATTCTGTCTTCTCAAGTTAGGAATGATCCAGCTGTTTACTCACATCCTGTTGCTTGCACTGTAGGGTTTTATATGCATTTGTTTCTAATATACTTTTTAAATAAGGAATCTGAAAGAAAGTGGAAATGCATCACAGTAACCCAGGAGAACTCCATATTGGGTGTTCTTGCAGGACTTTGTGACATACCCTGAGATACCAGAAGGAGTTGGATTCTTTAGCCAGTGGTGTTTGGATATATCTCAGGCCAACCCTTCAATTACCTGCAAGATTTGTTTTTTCAACAATCCTTTTGCCAATCTCTCAAATCGCCCCCACTGAGACAGGAAGGCATGGTCACAGCAGTAAGCAGAAGGATGAAACTTGGCTCAATTCAATTTGTTTTTATGATTCAATGCAGTGATCAACACTAATGTCCTTCATCGGGTTTGCATCCAACCTAGAAATGACTGACTGAGGAGATAACCTTTGTCTGTCTGGTGTTAAGTGCCACAAACAAGGTTAAGTTTGGCAGCCTTCCATTTCTGTCACAGCATCGGCTTTGAAAGGCCAGCCGTAAATTATAGAAATGTCAGTGGGTTTTGATTTCTGTTATTTTTTGTCTGGCTTTTGTATGTAGTCGGGTGGTAATGTATGTTAATTGATTTTCTTCCCCTCCCCCACATTATAGTTCATTCGCAGAGTGGACACAGTGTAGACATTGACATTGCCCTAACATTGAGCTTCAACTCCTTGAGCTCAGAACAAACCACTTTTTGCCTCTTATTAATGGCCTCTTATCGCTGAGGTGGGTATTCACAGATAACAAGTTTTGGATTTGCCCCTAATCGTTGTACAGTATTCCTGACATATTCAAATGCATTCTCTTGAGGGACACCAAAATGTTCTTAATCCACCCAATTAACCCAACCATCATGTAAGAGCATGAGATGGAAATGAAAAAAAAAATCCAAGTGAACTCCCTCCCATGATCCCCCAAATAATTGTGCATTGCATCCCTTTGCACAGTCTCCAGGAGAAAAGCTTCCCACAGCCATTCCCTGATCTTTCTGCCATTATTGCCCAATATCCTCCACCCCCCCCATCCCCAGATAAAATTGGTCATTCACTTCATGGCTGCTTGTGGGACAATATATGCAAATTGGCTGTCGCATTTGTCTACAAAATACATTCACTACACTTTGCAGTAAATCCTTTGAAGTGCTTTGAGATGTCCTCCTAACATGAAAGGTGCCATGTCAAATGCAAGAATTATTAACAATAACAACCACAATTTGCACTTATATTGCGCCCTCCACACAGATTAGCGTCTCAGAGCGTTTAACAGTGGCGGAGCCTGACTCCAAGCCAGGAGGCAGTGGCCGTAAGCACAGTTGACCAGGAAAGTCTTCAGGCAGGACTTGAAAGTGTGGTGAAAGGGGGCAAGGTGGAGGGATTGAGTGAGAGTCTTCTAGAGTTTTGGGGCGCTAGTGGCTGAAAGCATGACCTCCGATGGTAGGGCGGAGGGTGCGAGGGCTGAGTAGGAGACCGGTGCCAGTCGAGGAGAGACATTAGACGGTGGATTGGGGAATCAGGAAGTCGGAGAGGTAGGGAGGTGCCAGGGAGAGAATGGATTTGAACACAAGAGTGAGGATCTTGAAGTCGAGATCTTGACCTTGAAACATGCCTTAAAATGATTTTATGAAATAGAGTTTGGAGTTTGTTGATTTGATCAAGGAAATGAGCTTTTCATGTGAAAATATTTGAACGCCTTAGGCTTATTGCATTGCAGTAGGTCAGTGGTTAGAGCACTCGCCTCACAAGCGAGAGACCTGGATTTGATTCCCGGCAGGGCGAAATGTTGGGCGAGTTTCCTTACTCCACACACCTCTGTTTACCTAACAGTAAGTAGGAACCCGGTTGTTAGTTGATTGGTGGATCACTTTTCTGGAGCTAATAATTCCTTAAAAAAAATTGGTCACTCAATCCATGACTGTTTGTGGGACACTGCTGTGCACAATTTGGCTGCTGCATTTCATCCACAAAATATAGTCAATCACTTTACAATATATTCTGTGAATTACTTTGAGACATCTCGAAGATGTAATAAGGCGCTATATCCAATGCAAGGATTATTATTATTGGGTGTGACAAAATTCCAGTGTTTGCATGTGAGGCTTCTTGCTTTTTCCATTGTGCTGCAGTGCTGATTCTGAGTGTCGCTGACAGCAGAAGCAAGGAACTATTGGCCAGCTACCGTGTGCCTGTGTCCTACCTTCAGATGTTTCATCATTACCATGTGGAGTTGATGCAGGTAATCACTTATAGAATGCAAAACTTTTGAAATTTGCAACAGAATTTTGAACTTGCAAATCATGCAGGTGCTCAGATCCATCTCGGGTTGACCTATCTCACTGTTTCTCTTTGTTGAGTTGCAATTAAAGAAGGCTCTTGGTGCCCTGTAGGAGATTGGAGTCTGAGATTGGAGTACAGATCTGTTATTTACATCATTTGCAAATCACGAACCTTAGACCCTGACATGTAAATGTGATGTTGTACAAATACAGGCGAGGGAAGTCCAAGCATTGATTCTTGGCCTGGGCTGAGTTAGCTGATCTCAGCTAAGATGGAGGCAGCTTGTGTCATTTGGCTTTGCATTGGAAGGAGGCATCATGCGGTGCATTGCTGTGCATTGATCTTCCCCCACCCCCATTGGCATTAACATTTCATAGCATGTACTACTAAGTCAATATTCTCCATATGTATTATTTAACAGCAGTTTATTATTGCATCAAAAGCAATACTGGCACACAGTGAATGGACGCTGATTTGAATTGACTGCGCTTGCTCAGTCCTGTTCGATTTATAGGCCTTTCGTGAGCCAGCGATTCAGATTTAGTGCTCACTTTGCATTAAGTTGCTTTGGGAAACCCTGGCACCTGTGTCAGAGCTATAATGTAAAGCAATGGAGCTTTACACTCACAGGGAAGCAGAGAACCTGATCACTGAGTCAATATAAAACTCCAACACCTGCACTTGAATGCCTGGTAACTCCATTGGTGGCTTCCAGCACAACCCTTGTACAAAAGTTGAGTGAGGAAGGCTCACCCCTGGACACTGGTAATTATTGATTGGGTGGAAACCCTCATCCTCCTCTTTCATTGGAGGTATGAGTGTTTCAGGCAACATAAGCACTCAAATATTTCCACATTTCTGAAGCCAGCTCCGTATCTTTTGCAGTCCCTGATGTAATTGGTAAAGAAGAGATTAACCCACTTTGCCACAAAATCCAAAAGCATGTCAGGTGACAGAGATCTGTTCATTGTTTTCATATCATGTACAATCCAATGCAAAGCAGCAATGAATACTGCATTTATGCAGACACTCAGCAATAACCAACATTTTTTTCTGAATGTTTGTCATTTTATCTCTTGTGTTTCCTTTGGCTAGTTTTGTAGCTTGTATCCAGAAGAGCTCTTGATGCCTTCCCTCCTCCCTTACACTGCAATGCTATTTCTGATCTCAATTGGCCATTCTTCTTGTGTGAACTTGGCAGTAAGTATACTTGATGCTGTGTGCACCACCAGCATACACTTTCCAATAAGGCTGGAAGTGCTCTTGATGCACATCAGAAGTGAGATCTCTGACTAATTTCCACTTCTTCAACCTTGCGAAGCTAATTCAAGTTGCAGCTCTATCTACTACTCCGTCAGATCCACTAACTTCCCACGGACCAGGAATTGAACCTGGAATCTTCCCAATCTATGTCATTCAGCTACTCGCTGTATAAACTCTCTGAGCTGTGTAGGGTCAAAGAAATATACTTTATATTAAAAAGAAGTTTTTCCCGTATGAGTGTGTGAATGTGGTGAGCCTCATCTATATTTCTGTGAAAGAAAAAAACACTTGCATGTTGCTGAACCATGTTGCTCTACTTGGGGCAGAAGCAAACAATATTTTTGTGGGCTTATCCCACAGACTGATGATGCCTCCGTATATTATTCCTCCTATTGATTCTTCTATGATCTCAATAATTCATGGCAAATTCTTCACATTTTGCATCCCTATTTCCTATTTTATTGATCACTAATAGTAGCTGATCATATGTTCTTGATCTAGAGGTCTAGAGATTCTTCTTTAAAGCCTGACCAGCATTTGTGCATCATCTAAAACTGGGATGTATGCATCCAATTGCTTCTGCTCACCTAATCCCACTCCAGGAGTTTGCTTTGGATACTCACAAGTTGCATCTATACAGTACCCTTAATAATAATAATAATCCTTGCATTTGATATAACGCCTTATCTCTTCTTTAAGACATCTCAATGGGCTTCACAGAATATACTATAAAGTGAATTGACTGTATATTTTGTGGGGGAAATGCAGCAGCCGATTGCACACAGCAGTGTCCCACAATCAGTTGTGGACTGAAGTGACCAATTTATTTTTTTTGGAACAAAAAATTATTACCCCTGGAAAAACGATCCCCGAATTGACTAACAACTGGATTCCTATTTACTGCTAGGTAAACAGATGTGTGGAGTAAGGAAACTTGCCCAACATTTCACCCTTCCGGGAATCGAACACAGGTCTCTCGCTTGCGAGGCGAGTGCTCTAACCACTGAGCTACAGGACTCCACTTAATGGGGGTGGGGGTAGAGGAGTGCACCAATGGTGAAGCTTGACACAGAATTGTCTGTTGATGGTCACATTAAGCATGGTGATATACATTTTTTCATATGAGAGCATTAACTGTAAGTGTTGACAGTTTATCAGATCATAGGTGCATCTCAGCCAAGCCCAATCCTGTTCTGCTCTGGCATTCACACATATACTTCCTGGCTGGACGGTGATCAGACTGGGCCCTCTCACTGAATTCCCCACCCCTCCTCATGGAACCTGAGGCCAAATGCATTGCCTCCACTGTCTTCCTGGTTGAAATCAGCTAACTCCATTCTTGTGGTAGGGCAACTGGGAATTGAACCTGGAACCTTTCTGGACCGTTTTATGGGAAAACCCACCAGTCAATGTTTTATTGTATTGCAACGGAAATGAGCACATATATAATTAGGGAGCCTAAGATTAATTGAAAATGACGATTGTCATGATAAAGATCATTTTAGTTAAACCAAGGAAGTGTAGATGGAATGTTCAATCTATTATTGAAACTTGTCTATTTGTTTATCCCCAGCAGAGGTTCAGATGCATGTATTTCCAATAATGTATACATTAAACCAGATTAAGTTCCTTTCTTAAGAGCAGTGGATTTTTATTCATCTTCTTGTTGCAATTTGTTATCCAATGTTGCAATTTATAAATTACCTTCTGTATAACTTTGTGTGTGTGTGTATGTGTAGATGCTTGTGAAGTAAGGGTATTGAGAGATGTGGAGGAAGAGTGGGGAAATTGGATTAAATGTATAAAGAGCTACCATACTCTAATAAAATAGTACAGCGGACTTGATGGGTTGTTGTCCTATGTTCCTATATAAATTGTGTGTTAAAATAATTCTTATAAACTACATTTCCTGAATTGCAATGCACCCTATCTTACTTGATGTAATTTTCTATATAATTAGAAATAGGCTCTTGAGTGATTTATGGTTCGTATATTGCCTTGAATTACCCCTGAGACCTATTAATCCTTAATCGTCAGTCATTTAAATGTTTTTAATTCCAGTACGGGAAAGCTTTTGTTAAGAGTTCATACAAAAATCAATGGCTCCTGTTTGTGTATTTGATTGATGTTGATTTGTGCCTTTTTTATGGTTTTTACTCCAGCCTCACGTCAATGTGCCCTCCGGAGTCCGTCTGTATGCCACGCTTGTTCGGAAGGGTAGCGTCATACCACGTCAAGAGGGATTTGCTTTCACTGGGTTTGAGGTGCGGCCTGACTTGAGGTTAAGGAAAGGGATATTCGTCCCTGAACTATATCTGAATCTCAATACTAATAACTGTTCTTTGATGAAAGGCTTTCAGTGCATAAATGCATAAACTACACACTCTTTCTCCTCTCTGCATCTTCACAGAGAGTTGAAATCAATAATCAGTTAGGTTTTTAACTGTGGAATTGGAGTAGATGTTAAAACCAGCTTCTGCCTTTCTGTTCAGATGGGCGTTAAAGATCCTTCAGGGCTATGTTTAAGAAGAGCAGGGAGTTTCACCTGGTGTCTTTGATACCTCTATTGTTAATCCTCCACATTTTGGCCCTTCAAACAGATTAAGGGAAGACTTGGGTTGTGATGCCTTGAAGGTGCAGTGTGATATGGAATGGAAGGATGGCTTGCAGTGTATGATGAGAAGGTTTCAACCATTTATTCAACCTTGTAGATAGGTCTATTGTTGCTCAGTTCAGCAGTGCTGCCCATGAGAGGATCTGTTTAGTGTTAATTTTCCATGTGTTGTTTTCAGGTCCTTGTACGGGGATTAGAAAGACCACTGAAGGACCCTGTAGGTCCACTTCTTGTCGTAGCTCGGATAGTGCCTAACTGTGAATCCTACAAGTAAGTACTGCACCTAGTTGATTTTCTGGGAAAAAAGCAGAAGCATGCGATTAAACAGATGGTTCTTCCAGGCATGATGGTTTCAATGGCGACTGCCTGTACTATAAATGCCTATAATTCATCACAGCAGTCACAAAAATATTTTTGTTATCTGCATTCCCATAGCTGGTGAATTGGCCATGGCAGAGGAGGTCCAAGAAGGAAGGTTAAGCAATAATGCTTCCGTTAGAGGGTCTAACTTTATCTTTTTTCTCAATAGAGATGCAATGTTAATGAAGACTTCCAGATTGGCTGGCATCACTGTCACAACAGTAAAATACCCGAATCCACCTCGATCTTCTTTTGAGGTTTTTGATTGTACAAACCACGGTTACCCTCAGGTAAGTAAGCTGAACAACAGAAGTACAGTACGATTTAATGTGGGAGAGAGGGGGGGGTCTAATATGCAGTGATTTCTAATGATATTCCTTAATAAAGATACCAATGCAGAGACTCCTTCTGGTAATAAGAGAGAAGTTCAGAGGAGGAAACAATAACTAAGGCAAAAACCTAAAATATTGCTTTGAGACGTATCAGAATACTATTTATAATTATTTAAAACTAGTCAAGTTTTCACCTATTTAATACGAGTAGGTTTTGAATTTTTTTTAACAAAAGGATTGATCACTGGAGGTAGATTGAAGTATTGGAGCAGGAGAAGGGATAACGGCAGCAAGCAAGCAAGGTAGCAGTTGTTGATGGCACTAAGCAAGGTAGCAACAGATGGGGCAGTGAGCTGAGGCTTAGCACAGGATGGGGCATAAGCTAACAGGCAGTGCGGAATGAAGGGCGCAGACAAAGATACCACAATCTGGTCCAGCTAGGATCAGCTGTTGTTTAGGAGTTCTGGAGGAGAGCAATACAGGATCACCTGTGGTGTAATGGGAATCTCCTGCATTGGAGTTTTTAAAAATCAAACAATGGGTCACACTCGACCACAATAGTATTTGTTTCCAGATATGATGGGATAACGCACTTGTCTACAGTATAGGGGGGGGAGAAGGGTGAAAGAGGAGATGGTGAATTAAAAAGTTATATTTCTAGATGTAATGGGATCTAAAATGCAATATATGCTAGGTGAAAATTCCTATCTTGGCTTTGCTTTTGCTTGTGTTTACAGTCAAGAATGTCTGACAAGGCTGAAAACCAAAGCGAATGTTTATTTTTCGGCTTTTGTCAACTCTTTTGATTTGTAAAGTTGGCCTTTCGTTAAAGTCTCAATTGTGAATCGCAAGCCCGAATAGTGCAACAGTTCTGGTTTGCAAATCTGGAATATTAGACCCCATTACGTCTACATCGCTGTAATCCTAACACAGATGCTACTAGTTTTGTGTTTCATTGCAGTGTTTATTTTATTCACAGTGCTGCTGTTTGCCCAGCATGCACTGGGGATTAGGCACTTTACTGTCACTTTATATTAGTCACTGATGCTGCCTGTATATGCTTCATATGCATTTTTCAGGACGATCAGATTGATGGGGGTGAGTAATTTAGACTGTTAAGACCACAGCCTCTTTCCTGCAGGAATGAAAGGACGTTTGACCACTAGATCTGCCAAAGGTGCTGGAGGTCAGCGACCTATTGCTTTAAAACCCACCTCACATAGCAACATCTAGATTGTTAAAGTAAGAATAAGATGGGCAAGTAATTTCACACGTTTATCAGCGGAATTAATTAATTACTTGGATCTGTGTTTAATTAATTCTATCATAAACTCCTCTCCTAAACACGTTCTGTCACAGCTTAGGTTCGCGATGCGCAAAGCCGAGCTGGATATTGTCCTGTTTCAAAATTCACGCCTCTAACAAAAATGCTTGGTTAGAGATTTGTGAGCAGGAATCCTGATCAATCTTGCTTCCCCCTCCCCTCCTCTAAAATGGGGTGCTGAGGACAATTTTAATCCCTGTGAGCAACAACAATAAATTAGATTTGTATAGTAACTTTCATATCAGGAGGACAGCCCAAGGCGCTGGACAGTCAGGGATCTGCACCTGAGCTTGTGGTTGGCATAGGGGCGGTGGAGGGTGGGGAGGTTAAGGGTGACTGATTGCACGGTCAAAGAGGAGGGTGTTGAGATGGGTCTTGAAGGAGGCAAGGTAGGGGGCAATTAGCCAGTGAGATTAACCAGTGCAGAGTAGACTGGGGATTGAACATGTTGATGTTTTCGATTTTAAAAAGTGCCTTTACAGACTGAGGCATACATGAGATACTGGCAAAGGGGAGGGGATAGGAAACTTAACAGGTATTAGGAATGGGCAATTGCAGATAAAATGATCTTTAGTTTTACTCTGTTTTGCTTATAGAAAGTGAAATTCACAACTCAGAAACTTTAATAATGGAAATCACAGCTAAGTAAAGACTTTTCATTTCTGGTGGCCTTATTCATGACATTATCGAGAGCTAAATTTTTGAAGTGAATGGAAGATGTATGGGAGAATAAGCAGAGAAATAGGTGATTTCCATAAAGTTAATATTTAGCTGAAACATTTTTTGCACGCATTGGGGTCTAACACATGGTGATTTCTAACAGAAAACCAAGTGAGGGTTCCTTCTGGTGGAGTCCTGTATCTCTGTGATTAGAGCACTCGCCTTGCAAGTGAGAGACCTGGGTTCGATCCCTGGCAGGGCAAAATGTTGGGCACGTTTCCTTACTCCACACCCCTCTGTTTACCTAGCAGGAAGTAGAAAGCTGGTTGTTAGTCGATCAGTGGATCGCTTTTCTGGGGGTAATAATTCCTTCCAAAAATAATAATAATAAATCGGTCACTTCAATCCATGATTGTTTGTGGGACACTGCTGTGCGCAATTGACTGCTGTGCCCACAAACTATACGTCAATTCACTTCTGTGAAGCGCTTTGAGATTTCTAGAAGACGTAATAAGATACTATTTCAAATCCTAAGATTATTATAGAATTCCATCACACTGACCCACTAGAGCTTTGCTCCTAATGTAGATCTTCGGAATAGACTTCCTGTGAGTCACTGTGATGTAGTTCCTATTTCCTTACTAAGGAATCCCGATAGAAATCATCACATATTAGACTTCCTTATTCCTTGCTTTTCCTGAAAAATATCTCATACAATGCGGCAAAAGTTATTTTTGCAACCATTTTGTTTCTTGTTTAGACATGAGCTGTGATTTGACAATTTCCAAGACGCAGCATGTTCCAGATGTGAGTGTCAATCAGATTAGCAGATGGTTAAGCATGAAATTCCAGAGCTGCACAGCAAATTCTTATACAGGTACAAGCCCCAAACTGATGGGGGATTGCATTGTACATCTCTGGAATTGTTTTTCGCAAATGGTTGGAAATAGTTCCAATAGAGAGGTCTAGTTCAGGATGTTCAGGTGATTTCATGAATTTTAACAGTTCCGGAGCTGGAAAGTGTACTGCTAAATGTGGAACTGGGCCATACAGACCAGAGCAGGTCTTTAATCTCATCCCACTGTCTGAATACACTAAATTGTACTTTAGGGAATTGGAATGTACATTCTCTGCTTGACAAAAATATGGACATTAAAATTGTCCTGGTAGAGTCCTTTTCAACCTTTAACTGAGTTATTTTTAAAGCTCTTCCCTTACTCCTCGTAACGTGCAAATCGTAACTCATCTTCATTGCTAACTTAGTCATTCCCAGGACCTTCAGATGTAAATGTGGGAACTCTGCATATCCCCCAGTCTTCCCTTCCTCCCACAATCTACAGGCTTTTAATATACAAGCTTGGAATTACCTAACTGCTGCTTGATTTATCTTACTCTCTCTCCTGTACTGTTCAACCTGGATAATGGTTTACTGCTTTAGGGTCCTCGGACTTTCACTTGGGTTTCTCAGTATATAAAAAAAACCACACCTTCCAATATGCACATCATGTTATCGATTCTTTGTACTGGAAAGGATGCTATGCCTTGGGGACAGTGGAGGGGCTGTTCAGTGTTAATTTATTGGAGGGAGAAGAAGATTAACATTCTGCCTCAGTCTGTGCTGAGTATGCCTACTGTGGGCTGAGTTATAGATTAATATTCTTGGAAGAGTGGTTGCCTTCTGATCCATCAGCTGACTATGCTGACTGGAGCAGCATAAGTTAAGAAACATGGAGAAAAAGAAGCAAAGCCAAGGGATAACTACTGACTGTTGAGCCTCATTATCTATCTTGATATCCTAACCGAAGTACGTGTATTTATGCATCTGAGATTCTATGTTACTAGGTAGGTCAATGGTCAAGGATAATCACATTGGTATAAGATTAATTTTTCTCTTATGTTTATCCATAATACTGGTCTGTCCACCTCTAAAGAGATATATGATCTTCAGTTTGCTTTCTTAAAGGGTTTCATGCATATTTTTCTCATTTATCTTGAACTGGCCCATTTCTTGTAAGAATCCCATTGTGGCAAACGTGTTCTACATAAGAATCCTGTGGCTTCATTGTCCATCAATCTTTGTGGATTGGCTTTATTTTGGATTTTTTTAACCCACAGCATGTCGTAGTGAGACATCACAGTGGAGGGAGTCTAATTTGTGGTATTGAAGGGGAATCAATAAAACCAAGTCACGCGAATAAAGGCCACTTCCTATAACTGGAAGTATGTCCTCCTGAGCTATGGGAACTATTTGCTGATATAATTTACCTGATAACAGGATGCCTTATTAATTAATCATGTTAAGAAATATTACAACTTAAACCTATAGGTTCTTATCCAGGGTATATTACATACCTTAGAAATGTATCTCACTGCTGCTTGCAGGACTTTGGACAGGATTTTTAAAAAATCAGTGTCGCCTTCTCAGATGTAGTCTTAAATAGGAACTTTTTTTAATGAAGCTGGAATTGCTGTGTGTTCTCCTGCAGCCGAACCCCTTTCTGGCTATATTGCAAACAGCCACTGGCAATGGGAATGATGAATGCTATTGTGTATAAAGGATTTCCCCAAAGAGACATTTAGCATGACTGTAATAAAGAGCAGAACACTAACAATGTGATGTTTATGGCACTTCAGAGAGAAAAGCACAGGTATCTATGTGGAGCTGAGGGGCTGGTTGTACAAATAGAATAATGGTCCCACAACTTAGAACAAAAGTGTACTCACAGATGTGAGGCAGGGTTGACCCAATAACATGTGCAAAATGTGTGCTTGCTGAAATGCATACATCTGAGTTATTTCTGAAGAGTTTAGCTTGGAATCCAGATGGTCTCAAATTGTTTCTGAACCATGACTTGTATCCAAGACTCATCATCTCAAAGCTGCGAAATTCCACAGCTCCCTCAGTCTTTCCTTCTCTGTAATCTTTTCAAGCCAATACAACAACAACAACAAGATTCCATTTATAAAGCGCCTTTCACGTCAGGAGGACGTCCCAAGGCGCTGCACAGTTGGGTCATGACCCGAGCAGGGGGGAAATGGTCAGGGTGAGGGGAGGGAAGGGAGGGAGTTCAATGTCAGTCTTCCCTGTGGGCTCTTTAAGTGAGGCCACCAATTAGTGCTGATTTATGGGTAGTTGCACAGTGAGAACTTCTAAGTCTTGGTCAGTGACTAACTACTTTTTAAAACCAAAGTATCGGTTATAAAATTGAACCAGAATATTTTTTATATAAAAATCCTTTGTTTGCCTTGTTTGTGCCTCTAGACATCGTGTCACATTTTGTCAGTGGGTGAACTTTCAGCCATTCTGCCCCTTCTGGAATTCTATCCCAGAGTCCCTCCGGCTTGTCCCCTCCCTCCCCACTTTTAAAGCCCGCCTCACCTGAGACTTACCTGAGATTTACCTGATATTGTATTCAAGCGCTCTGAGATGCTGCCCTGGGTGGTAGTGCTACATAAGTGCAAGTTGTTGTTGTTACCTTTTTGACCGTGCTTGCATGACATTCCAGCACCTTGGGACGTCCTCCCGACATGAAAGGTGCTATACAAGTATCATTTTGTATTGTATGACCACTATCTATTGTGGAATAATGCCAGGCTCCATGCATATTGGCTGAGCCTCATCTTGTCTTCATCCAACATCCACACATGCGGCAGATTCTCTGTGTAGCAATAGGCAGTGGGGAACTTTAGTTAATGTTCCCATTCCTCGCTCAGGAGTGATGAAAACGATTGTAGCCCGTGCTATCCTGGCTGAGATCAGCTAATTCAGCACTGAGCGGAATTTGAGTCTGTGCCTGATCTGTATGGGTTAATGTGGCCCTTACCCACCAGCACATCAAGCGAGCTGCAAGCTATGAATGTTTCAATCTGCTCTTTCCGTGGAATTAAGGAACTTTCTATATTGCCCTTTTCTTAGCAGTTGTCTCTTTTACATCTGGTAGCTTTCAGCCGTGTTTAATGCAATTTTTCACTGAGTGCCTTGTTTGACACAATTGATCTTTTCCAGTGCTCCAGATTGAATACCAGCCATGGATGATTTCTTGCATGTAATGTGAGTGCGACGGCCACAAGCTCTTTTGTAAAAGACGTGCCACTCACTTGCTGGGCGCTGCATTCCATGTGGGATTCCTCAGCAAATGTGTTGCTCCTAACAGATATTTTTAATGTTGTGCAAATTCTTGCTAAATAGGAGCCCATGAGAAATTCCTCTTTATTTCACACTGCCTTTTGAAACATTCTTTAGTCTGTGTTTTTAATACGTTGGCCACACTATCAATCTTAGACGTGTTATAATTTTACACCTGACTGATTTTTGCTCCCAGGCTTAATTCTTTCTGAACGGTTTTCTTTGCATTCGGGCACTGCGGTAAAATGCAGTTTACTTTCCGACCTATCTGAACCGCAACTCTAGAATACTCAAAAGTCCATGGAAAAAGGCCACAGTTCAAATGCCTCTTGATAACTTGACATTTGAAAATCATGGGTCATATTGCCAATCTCTTTTGGATTATTGGACATAGTTGCCTCAGAGATCAACTAGTCTTAAAGTTTACAGTGGTACAGAATTATTCAGTTTTAATTTCGAAATGTGGTTTTCTGCAGAACCAACTTCAATATTAAGAAGTTAAATTGAAGAATTTGTGCACAATCATATAACCATTAAAAATGATCTTACAGGCAAAATGAAGTGGAATGTTGGGCCCCAATTCTCTTTGCGTGTTGCACGCACTTCCTGATAGACATGCTAAGGACCAGAATCAATATAGATCATTGCTGGTTGTGGCTATCTCACTCAATTGTAAATGGAGGAGGCAAGGCACAGGATCGAGGTGTAGGAGTGGCTAAGGCGACAGAGGTAGAGTACATTTATATTGAGTTGAGGTGGAGGGAGTTTGTGAATGGGGCAAGGTGGCTGAAGGCTTGACTGCCAATGGTGGGGTGAAGGAGTTGAGGGATGTGGAGCAGGGGAGAAGGAATGAAGGAGTTCAGAGGTAGTGTGAAGCAAGCCATACTAAGTTGATGTTCTGAGTCTTATCTTGTTCTCCTATTGCAAAATCAGAATACTAAAAATCTTAACATATAGACCATGTGTAGCCTTCTCTGTCATGTTCTGTAATGTTGCCTGCAATTACTGGTGGCAGACTGATCTGATGGAGGCAGAGACCTCCATTCATAATTCATTGCAATCACACTTTGGCGCATCTACTCATCCAGCCCTTGGGGCCCTGGAACTGTCACCACCAATAGTGTTTTTCCAGCGTTCTGCAGAGATCCCCATGGTTGCAGTGGGTGGCATTTCAATGAGATAAGGTTAACAATGACAGCGCTGAGCTGCATGTCAAGGCAGCATATTGATTTTTCATTTCATATTTTTTTGTGAAATAAGTCTAATTATTATTTCAGGACAATAATTAATGCAAATAGTCGGACCCTAGTTTACATGCTGCTAATTTTCTACCCCCACCCTTTCCTGAAGTCATTTGACCATTTTTCCCTTCATCTGAAGGGTGCAGCCCCAGGTAACCTCCAGTACCTAGCCCTCCTGATTGACCTATATATGTGGTGTGTGTGTGTGTGTGTGCGCATGCGCATAGACTGTGAGTGTTGACAGACTAGGGGAGAGTAGGGGAGGCTGATCACAACCCAGATCACTCCTGTCATGCAGTTGTCCAAAAGATCATAACCTTAACATTTATTATCATGCAGAATATTTTAAAAATGTTACATTTTTAGAAAACAAAAAGACCAATATGGTCCTGCAGGCAGATCCCAATATAATCGTAAACAATCTTGCACCAGTCTATCTCACACCTCTTTTTGATTATTTGCTGTATACTTATCAAACTCCTTCGTTATTTTCTGGCGTAATTTGTTTCCATCTTCCTGGCTTGACTATTACATTCGCCATGATCCATGTAAAGTATTCAATTCAGACTTATTTATTCACCATCCTTCTTTTGATCGTGTGTCCATGTCCCCTTCTAATAACATTTGTGACCTTGTTCAAGATATTTCCAAGGCTCCTTCTTTAGGACCTTAGTTCAATAACATCTCCCCTGAGATTTATGATCTCTATTGAGAATATTCTCAGTTCTTGTAGCCTCTGCTTGTAACTCAGGTGCTTAATTTTTTCTACTATAGGCTTATAGCTCATTGAGTTGGGTCCATATTATTTTTCTCTCAACAGGTGTCTGCTGCAGGATACCCTCAGGAACAACCAAACTGGAATCATTCCTTCCTCTTCCAAGGAAGAGACTGTGCCACTGCTTTCACCACAGGGGCTGCCCTGGTGCTGGAATACTACTCCATTACCACTGGTATGTAATCCTTTTCCACAGGAAGTAGATGTCTATCATATGTATATGGACTTCCAGTGTACTTTCGATGTTCCCGTTAAGTGGTGCTATCAATGCAAGGATTGGCGATTTGGTTGAGATGTGATGAGTGCTTAACTCCTTTTATTATTGTATAAACCTAGAAGGTTTACAGCACAGAAGGAGCTCATTCTGTCCTTTGTATTTGAGCTATTATTATCTCCCCACTGGAACTATTTGTTCCCATTTCATTCCTTCACCTTCAATGTTTTTCCTTGTATTTACCCATTTCCCCTTTAAAAGCTGTTAGTCATGGCTTCAAAACCAATCTATGGTAATCCTCAACTCTCGTTACTGATTTGTTGATCAGCGGTTTAACAAAAATGTACAGAATTTTGGAAACCTCCACTAGCTGCTCCTTAAACTTCTCTGCTTCAATAAAAACTGACCCAAATTTAAAGTATCTCAACACAATGTAACCTGTAAACTCTGCTCTCATTTTCTCTTCAACCGTGCCTTCACCTCCCCTCTCAACTCTCTTCCCCTCCTCATCCCTCCCTCCCCTCACCCTGACCAGTTTCCCCCTACTCGGGTCCCAACCCACTGTCCAGCGCCTTGGGACATCCTCCCGACGTGAAAGGCACTCTATAAATACAATCTTGCTGTTGTTGTTTCCAATTCCTGTTTTCACTCCTATTCAGATACTCTGGTCCTGCCAATCGATTGGTAGCCCTTCCTAAATATAAGTAATACTCTAAGATCTCTTATGCCCGATGTACCGACAGATTTCATGAAATGCATAATGCATATACTCATCATTCAAGAAATCTATTATTATTAAAACATGTGTAAATTTTCTTCAATTTAAAAATGAAAATTCTACTGTTGATGTCCCTATTATTCAGATGCATTGTAGTCCAATTCAAAACAAGTATTATATCTTTGCCAAAACTAGTGATGAACAGTGTGAACTGGCATATCCGCTGCCCACTTGGGTTCTCAGTGGTTCCCCTGAATCAAGACATTTATCACAAGTTAATGGCCGAGCACGGAAGCCATGGCATGCGTGTGGATGACCTACCTGTGCAGGTGAGTTGTATGTGGCGAACATGCATTTTACCTGAAAGAAATATACAGTCACCACACTTTACAATAAATTATTTGAAGCACTTTGAGACATTTTAACTAACACTGTCAACTGCAAGGATTATTATTTCATTAGGAGCAACAATGCTTATTCAGTTGTAATGTAATTCATGTGAAGGATGCCGCAGTTGTGGTAGTGTGGTATAAAGTGCTAGAAAAGTATTTCACACAAGAGGGTAGTAAACAGGATTATCAGGAACAGTGAACACAGGACTTGTCCAAGAAACCACCTGATGCTCAAATGGGATGATGCTCTGGTGCCTGCTCTGATATGAGATCAAATGGACATGCTTCCTCCAAATCTCTTGTAATCAAAGATCGATAGACTTAAATAAGTCAAACCTCTTTACCATAAACTCAAGAAAGAGTTTATGGTAACAATGCATCTGGTAGAGCTTCCCTTTGGCTATGCCAGCTAATGTTTAATATCTTGTGTTTTGCACAGGGCACCAGCTTGCAAACAGTGTTCAACACCAGGCCAACAGTGGGGCTTATTCTCCGACTTATTGGGTCAGAGGTAAGATGGAATAGAACTAAATTACTTAGGAATATTAATTGTGATTTTGTATGTGGAAATGAGACATTATTCCTGTGTAAGCAAATGAGTGTGGCAGGCTTTTCAATCTGATGGTATCAATCGTCATTCTTACCCCAAAATCACCCCTTATCTCTCCACCATTGTACCTTTGTGAGCCTTGCCAGAGAATGTTGACTGGCTCTTCAACCTTGGATGCAGCACAGATGAGCTTGGCTTGTGGAAATGGGGAGAAAAGCTCTTTACAGATTGAATGTATAGAGTTTTACTGTGGTCCATAATATGCTGAACATAACAATCCTTTCACTATATCTTTATAAGGAAACTGGTCATTTTGTTGAGTACCAAAACTTGTTGCATTTTTTTAACTTAAAAAAAATCTGTACAATTCTCAAAGGATTTTAAAAAATGAAAAATAAATAGGTAGGTATAAGGGTGCTCCAGAGCCAGGTATAGTTTTGGTCTTGTGTGTAATTAAGGATCACTGAATGAAGATGAATGTTTCAGGCTAGGACAATTCTGAACCATTAAGTGCCCCTCTATCCCTCAGCTGGTAATCCCAAGCCTACTGTTAAAACTGCGTCCAGAAAATCGTGTTGTAGGATATTTCAATTTTTTTTAAAACCTCCTCTGACTAGAGAACAATTGTCCTAGAAATAATGTTGAAAAAAAATACCAGTTCAGCAGTGGTGGAAGGAAAATGTTGGGGCACTCAGTAAAGTGTTCAGCCCTTCCATGTGTGATTAAGCAGTGTCATATTAAACACTGAAATTGACTGCTTTCCAGATCAGTGTATTAAAGGGGTGACATCCGTTAGATTTGTAGAAATTTATAGCTCAGAAGAAGGCCATTCGTCTCTCATGTCTGTGCTGATTCTTTAAAAGAGCTATCCTTTCAGTCCCGTTCACCTGCCTTTCCCCGCCCTCCCCCTCCATACCCCTGCAAATACTGTGTTTTAGATATCTATTTTGTTCCTTCTTAAAGGCGAATATAGATCCTGCCTCAACCAATGCTTCGAGCAATGCATTCCCTATCCCAACAACTTTCAGCGTTTGTGTTATTTAAAAAAAACTTTCCAATCTACCCTTTGTTCCTTTGGTAATTATTTTAAGTGGATTTCGGTAGTCACTGACTCAACCAACACCAGTGGAAATATCTCCCGGTACACTATCAAAACCCCATATAATTTTAAACAACTTATCAGATCTCCCTTAAACCACTTGGTTTCATTCCAGTCTCTGCTCTTAAGTCAAGTAAATCTCTTCTGAACTCTCTCTGGGCCCAGACATCCTTCCTAAAGTGGGGTGACCAAAACTGGCTCCAATATTCTAACTGCATTCTAACAATTTGTACAAGTGAAAAGGGGGGAATAAATTGAATGTTGTCCTGGTAAACCAAGACTTCACTCGAGCATTTTACACATTAATAATGTGCTTCCAGCAAATCAACGCCACACATAGTTTCCATTTGAAAATATAATTCTTTTTGTTGAACTCCATTTCACTTTATTGCGTCCTTGCTCTGAAGTGATATGCATAAACATGATTTGGAATGGAAGCATAATGACATGGAGATTTTATTGATATTCTGTGGGTGCCTTGGGGTTTGGTTGCTGAGGATCCCACATTGGTGGTACTTATGAGTAATTGCCCATGGGTCAAATAGAGAGCTTGCACACATGATACATTATTCACAAGGGCAGAAGTTAGTACTGAATTAATTCATTTTATTACAGATGGTTGCTAAAGCAAATTAACAGTCCCAGCCAAGCACTAAAGTGCAGTGGAATTTATTTCTAGGTGTCTGTTATGGAACAATTTTTTTTTAATGTTCCCACACCAAAATGTTGTTTGAGAAGATGGCTATAATTTTAAATCCTTTTACTGAACTTTGAACAGTGTCCCTTGTGATTTCTCACATGGCTTGAGGACATCTTGCATATACATAAACAAAAGAAGTTGTGTGCAGTATATTCAGCGGAGGATTAGACCTAATAGTCAGTGATTTGGGGGGCTAAATGTGGAGAGAAAAATCAGGGTTGAGCCAGAGTGAATTCCTGTGGAGCTCCGTTTCTAACACAGTCTGGAAGAGAGATTTTGGGAGCAGTGGATTTGCACCAGTTGCAATATAAATGGTACAGGTCTTGTCCAGCTGAGATCACTATTAAGACTTTATTTACAGCATTACTCATGCTGAAGCCTGTTAACCAGGCTTCAGAACATGTGTGGACCTTTAAATTGTCTTGGGTTACTGAGCAGCCAGTCCTCATCCTTTGGAAACACTATTCCCATTGGGCAGTGTGAATAAAGTGCAAGAAGGATAAATTCCAAATAACAGTATTCATAAAAATAGTCCTTGCATTTGATATAGCGCCTTATCATGTCGTTGATAAGTATTGGTGTCAATTTAGCAGTATATTTGATATCTATCATATGAAGTGGAGTCAGGTATGCCAGAGGCAGACTCTCTGCCAACCAGATGTTTCTCACAAATCTGACGTCAACACAGTTTGGTCTTCTGTAGCATTGGATGTCTGGTTCACCAATCACAATTAGTGAATCACCAAAGTGATGAGTTTTGCAGTAACCAGCAGTCATGTTGTGGATGCAGCTTCACAATCTTATCCTTTGGGAATATTGTTGGGATGGGGTGTATCTCCAACTCATCCAGATATGTTTGCTGCTATCAATATCGAATATAATCCTAGATTGACCCCAATATCACAGTAACCCCAAGCGTGTCTTTAACTGAGAACTAATACTGTGTTCAGGGCTGGGAAGAAGAAAGAATTGCTCTGAACAGACTGCTACTTCGGCTATCATTATCTACTGAAGATGGACTGCAAGGTGGAACATGTAGGAATCAATCCAGCTACCATGTGGAAAATGACAGGAGGAGTGAATATATTATAATTTGACTTTGAATAAACAACATGCCTTAATTAGCGGTTCACTCAGAATATGTACAGTTCCCCTCTTGCATAATTTAAGTAACAACTTTATAAACTAGAATTGACTACATCCTTTCCTTCTGCCTGTTCAGTTTTTCTATATTTTATCTATATTCGCTGTCCCTTGATATTGAGCATTGTGGGCAATTACCCTGGAAAAGCCCCCTGCTTTGTGGTTGATATATAAAAAAACAAACTGCTGTCTGCTCTGTTCAGCATTGCTTCGAGAAAAAAGCTATGCAGTGTCAGAGCTTGAGTCATTTCAAAGGGAGCGGCGTAGGTTCATTTTGTTTGATGACTAATGAGTGGGATACAGTGGGAGGGGGCGCAGGGAACATTAATGTCTCTGTTAAGCAGATTTTGTCCATTTTCCATTGCAGAATCAATCCCACGGGAGCACTCAGCCAAAGCGCTAATTGAATAAAGTACATGAGCTGTTCTGGTCGCACATGGACTGTGCTAGTGTAGCAAAGATGGCTGATGAAGCACCTCTGAGCAATCTTTCATTGTGCATTTCAGCACCGCGGACAGCAGCTGCAACTCAATGCCTGGGCTTAAAGGGAGCCCTAAACTGTTGCATTTTACATGTTTGAATCTTGAGGGACAGGGGACACTGTTAGGCTGCATTTCCATTTGACAGCGCTGGGATCTGATCCTCAGATGTGCAAGAGCTTTTGAAGAGGCCCATCATTGTATTAATGAAATGCGGAGACATGGAAATAACTTCTGACGGCATTAATGAGGGTAAAAATTGCAAGGGCAGAGAAGCAGCTTAAAGCTGTGTTGCGGAAAAGCACAGGCAGCTAGGGACTAAAGAAAGAAAAGGGTTCCAGGGAACAGCATGAACCAGCATAGTTTAGCATTTTTTCTAACACATCCTATTTATGTACTTAGAGAATAATGGGTTATTATAACATGGAAATGAGTATTCTGGCATAATTTGCTGCGAAGTACATTCTTTCAAATGTGTTTCCAATCAAGTGGAAGATTATTCTGTAAAGGTAGAAGCCAATAATTCTAATAATGCATTTGATATAGCACCATATAGCGTTATCAAATCATCTCCATATTTATGTATGAGTCCATTGTAAATATCTGCATAAAAATTATATTAAAAGGGTACAGGCAAAGAGCAGGCAAATGGGATTTGAGCAAATTGCTTTAATGGGGAGCTAGCACCAGCACAGACATAATGGATTCCTTTTGTGCTATAACTGCACTTCACAAGATTTATTGTAAAGAAGTGACTGTGTATTTGTAGATACATGTAATAGTATCAGTGAGACAGACTAGAGAATACAGACCAGAGAGTGTCAGTTTGATCATATTGTGCTGTGTTAGCACTGAGACGTCCTCCCAACATGAAAGACACTATATAAATATTAATTGTATTCAACTTTTAGAAATGCTTCTTTTCTGCAGACTTCCATTTGGAAAATTATGCATCACTCCCACTGTACAGAGTCTGACTGCAATTTGATTAGAAGCCGACCACAAAAAAGAAGCAGAGTTCATTTTGCCAGGAAGTGAAGAGTCCAAATCTCATTAAGGTCCTGAATAAGTTGATGTCTGTCTTGTTTCAAGAGGAAACACAGGCAGATGCATTACTCAAATCATTAAAATCAATATTTCCTTACATGGAAAGTGCTTCTTATGTTAGTAGATGAAGCTTGTACCAGCGTGGGCTTCATGGGTCAAATATTCATCCAATTCTGTAATTTCTGTCATAATTCATTTTAATGTATGGTTTACAGAAGAGGAACATCAAAGTTGGGATGGTCAATGAATTGATTAATCTTTAAGATCCTCAGTTGTAGAAGTGAAGGAGTCACCTCATGCCTGCTTTGGAAATTCCACAGTAATTGGAACTGAAGTTTTTGTGTTTCAGCGACCAGATTCCATTCTCACAATGTTGGATCCCCTGCGTTTTCCTGCCATGGACTGGGAGACACTGCACTGTCCTCTGGATGAAAACCAGCAGCAGGCCCCAAGCGCTCATCTATCTCCAGTCAATCCAGTCACTTCCTTGGAAATTGGTTCATCAAAAGAGATTCCGCAATCTCAAACCTTGGACAAGACTGCGGAGTCACCACCAGCACCTGCAGTGGCCAGGCCTCCTGTTGTGAAGGTACTTTACAAAGCTTTTTTTATAAAAATATTCCTTCCAGGGACTGATGTTGCTGCAGCCAGAATTTTTTTTTTCTCAAAGTCTAATCAATCCACCAGAGGGGGAAAAAACACATTGGTGTCATTTAAAATGCAATGGTTTGCTGCAATACGAAGTCAAGGATTATTATTGATGTCCAAGATTAATGAGTTTTGATTGATCTTTACTCATCACTGACTTTTCATTTGCGCTTCTACACCCTGGGATCTAAACTATGGGATTGGCATAAGAAATGATAAATACCCAATTTCTAGGAGACCTCCTGTATCTTCTCGCGCATGCTGACTGAGTTGACACTGTGATGGATGACTGAGTGGAGTTTCAGTGGGTCACCTGCAAAATCTCACAGATATGCTACTTAAACATTCTTTTGCAAATCTCGTAATTTAGACTCAGCACACACCTAGCAGATGTCACTGCTTTTGCCATCTGACCAGAAGTGTGTTTTGCAGGACTGAATACCCGAATAAATAATTGATTGCAGCTATCTTTCCTTCAATTTTTTTTCAGAATTGAAGTTCAAAACATTGCTTTGCTCTTTTGCTTGAAATAAATTCAATGAATTTGCAACCACATAATCCAGTTCCAGGAAAACCACTGTAAATACAAATTCTTCCCCTTGGTTAGCCAGGAAGTCAGTGTTGTCTATGCAGAGCCCCATCCTGTGGTGACGTTTGTACTTGCACATAAACATGTGAAGAAGGAATCTTGTATTGTGGTATAAGCACTAAAACACCAACAAACATGTAACTAAATCATTAAAATGTAAAATTCCCTCCCATTTGATGTTTTATATGTCAACCATCTTTTAAATTGACAAGAGGCGCAGATACTATAGGTATGAGCCCAGTATTTGACTAAATGCAGGACTGGATGTCATGGGTTTACAATTCAAAAACCTCGATCTGTCCTGAGGATTAAAAGAGGGTTTTTTTTCCCCAGAGTTGAAGTTCTGTGGAACAGACTCTCAACAACAAACGTCCTTGACGGGGCTTTGACCAACTCCTTCAAGAATATGTCTGGTTTGTGAACAGTATTGGAGGATATTTAAATAGGTGCAAACTGAGATGATCAAATCCTCGGCACAACCCAAATATTCGTGCTGCTGGGAAAAAGAAGACAGGGAATGGTGTTTGCAGAAGACAGAGTTTGAATTGTGCGGATAGAGGAATGTTGGAGAATATTCTTTACTTGCTCCCCTCTGTGTCCCGGAGCAAATTTGTACAATAATGATGAAGAGTGAGATAAAGTAGGTGGGGCCAAATGAATGATAGGGTTCCCAGCCATGGGATGTTTCAGCTGTGATTTGGCGCTGTTCCTTTATTTGTGTTCCAATAAAGAGAAGGGAACACCATTTCTTCAGTAGATAGGTTCTCTCACCTTTGTGGACTTGGAAAAATGTGGCAAGGATTGCTCTGATAGCAGAGAGAAAGGACTGGATCAGAAATGGTTCGGGTTTTCGACCTCTGCTGGATGAAGGGAACAACAGTTTCAGAGAATGAGAAATCCTTTTAACTATTTACTTGTGCGGTTGGCTTTAGGCTACAGTTGTAGTTATTAGGAATTCCTTCTCTCACCCCCAGCCCCCCCCACCCCACCCCCAGACCCCATACTCCGCCACACTCTGGATCTTTATTTGAAGTATTATACAAAAGCCCAGAGGCACAGAATCTCTTTGTGCTCTCGAATAGCAAAAGCCTGTCACAGAACAAAGGAAAATAATTGAAAGATGCCTGAAACAGAAAGGGCGAAAAATTTGGCATAAAAATGTGACATGCCTCAGTGATTGTAGAAATCACCTGAAGCTTTTTCTTCCAAATCTAATACCAAAGTCGCAGTCATATGGTAGTTGTTCAGCCTCCTCGTAGTTAATGGAAGGAATGAGTTGACAATGGCAATCCCATCTGTCTCATTTGGCTACTGATATGTTGTACTTCATAAAATAATTGTAATAGTTTGCAAAAAAANTATTTAAATGGAGATATTACTAAGGAAATACTGTCAGTATATATAAATCTTCAGAACATGTAATCGGTTATTTTAAATGGGAGACATGAAGTGAAGTTGACTTGACAATTTAATAGATTTTATAAATGTACATCAATTGGTTCTTTTATTTGGAATGAGAGTAAGATTTCAAATTCCGTTAAAGGTATGAACTCAAATTCTCATGTGTTCATTTGTTTGGGTTCAGGAGTGAAAAATCCTAAAGGTTTAATACTATTGTCTTAAAGTTTTAAGATTGTGCAGGATTTTGAAGTCCTGTAGCATGTTGGTCAGAAGAATCGCCTCACAAAGTGAGAGGACCCGGGTTCAATTCCCGTGCGAAGCGAAACCTTAGGCTCAATCTACGACTGTTTGTGGCACACTGCTGTGTGCAATTGGCTGCCAAGTTTCGCCCACAAATACAGTCAATCCACTTTACAGTATATTCTGTGAGGCGCTTTGAGACGTCTCAACAAAGTTATAAGGCACCATATCAAATGCAAGGATTATTATTAAATTTGATCTCGTTTTTGGAAGCGGATTCTTTTTACAGACTGTGGAGGAGTGGCTCTTAATGTTTCTGACCTCAATAAAGAATCGGCAGCCTTGCCACCTCTTTAATAACATTAAAAATTAACTCCAAGATCGCAAGGATCTGAATGGTTAATTGTGCATGCAGACAGAGCTCATTGTTACATATAAATCCACTCAGTTCCAGGCTGCTGGTTCTCGCGTGCCCAGAGTCTGTGATGTGGTCTGGCCAACCTCAACTTCAAGTGATGTAAAATAAAAGTTTAAACTGCAATTCACAACAATATGATTTGACACCATGGATTAACCTCTGGTATTTTTATTCTTTTTTTAAAAAAAACTGGCTGTTGCTTCATTTAGCAGGATACTAATTCCAACCACAATATAGATGCAGAGAAAGGAAAGAACAGTAGAAAGTGGACACTCACCAAGTCTTCTCCTAGGGTAATCTTACCCCCGTTCACCTCCCATCCAAAATTCTAACTATACATCTTCCTTGTTACTGGCCACTGTGTTTCCACCCAAATGAAGGGGAAAGAACAGAAGAAAAAAAAACCAAGGCGAATGTAGTTTGTGGAGGAAGTCTCTCTGGAAAACCCCTCCCCACCTCTATATTAATGGACATTTTATTCTGGAGCAAAACTGTCTTTAACAGGTTTCATTTTAAATTCTGAATTTGTACAAGTACTCTATTAAGATTTGTTTCTTTAATACCTACTGTGAACACAAACTATTGTCTGCAACATTAAGATGCTCTGCATATGGTTCAGTTGTGTTTCCATCAGGTCAGAAGCGCTAAATTAACTTTAATACAAAACTCATCAGGAGACTATTTAACATGATATCCAATCATATTGACCACTTCAGAAATGCCAGGCAATTGTTTGCAATGAATGTGCCTTATCAATGGCTTGGCTGTTGAGGTAACCAAGATGGTACAATCTCATTACATAAATTACTGCTATTATGTCTTATCTTGGGCTAACAGAGAGGTGTGAGGCTTGACTAAACTGCATTAAGCTCACTAAAGAAGTGTAATTCTCATGCTCTATTCTGGAATCACGACTTTTTTGAATTTGCAATTAAATTCTTCTATCGGCATCTCACAGCTGTGCTCTCGGCACGTTCCATACTGAAACTAAACGCCTATTGGATTTAAAAAGTGATCTTGTCCCCCAATTGTGTCGAGTCATTAAGAACCAAGATTAACTTCTTTCCAATAAAGAGAGTAATTAAATTGTCTACTATGGTTCTGATTAGATAAAGAGCTGTAACTGAAGCTATTGAGAACTATTCAATCTTAGTGTTACTGATGCTGTGAAGTAGTTTTAGATGCTGAATGGTTTCAGAGGACAATGTCATACTGAACAGGAGAAAGAAGCATTGACCATAAAGAACAATACACTCCCCTTTTAGTGTTTTTTTGTGTATCAAAAACAAACTTTAAAAGTCAGGCTAATATTTAATGATGGTAAATTTAAGAAGCCCTTGGCTGGTTTGATACCTTCAAAAGTGATTCCTAAGGAGTCTATCATTCTCTGGTCGCTAAAATAGGCATCTTTACTCCAAGCTAAGGCAAGCCCCATGAAGCCCTCCTTATGGTACGGTTATTTTTAGATGTGGTCCTTTATCAACCTCAAATGGACAAAAGGTAAATGAATCCACCAAGATTCAAACCTAGAAATGTTTGGTTCCAAGTCCAGTGCTCAACTGATGGAGCTAATCAGAACTAGTTAAAGATGGTAAGGATAGGACTTTGAATCACATAAATTACAACACAGATATACATTTATATAATGCCTTTCATATCAGGAGAACATCTCAAAGTGCTTCATTAAAACAGAAGGAGGCAATTTGACTGAGTGAGCCAATACTTGTGCTAACTCCTCCAAAGAATTGATCTATCCTAATCCCGATTTTCTGCTCCTTCCCCATGCCCTTTTGAATTAGTTCTTGAAATATTCCAGAAATTTGCTTTTAAGCATTGAAGTACCACCCAGCCACACCACTTTCAGGCTATCTGGTAACTAGCTTAGTTAGCGATTGTAACATGGTCATACACAAATCTATTATCTCCTGGTATAATTGTCTGAGATGGCCTTTATCTTGAAATTCTGCATTTAAGTTATTAAGTCATTAAAATGTCATCATTTGCTTAAAGTGTGTTTTGCTGTTTGGATGAAAGTGCATTCTAAGATTCTGTTTGATGTTCAATGTTTTTTTTAAAAAAAACAGTGGAACCCTTTGTTTCCCGGATGATTAGGTTGGATCCTGGGGGATTCTATCAGAATGGGTCTTAAGTAATAATAATAATAATCCTTGCATTTTGATATAGCGCTTTTCATGTCGGGAGGACGTCCCAAAGCGCTTCACAGAACACACTGTAAAGTGAAGTGACTGTATATTTGTGGGCGAACGCGGCAGCCAATTGCGCACAGCAGTGT